TCTCTCCCTAATATCCAACCTAAACCTGGTCTAATTGACTCAGTCTGTCTGTCTGACTTGTGTTCTCTGTTACATTCTGCCTTTTTGCAGACTCTCCGTTGGTGTTTAAATCTGGGCATTCGGGAGGTGACTGTTTATGCCTTCAGCATTGAGAACTTCAAACGCTCCAAGGAGGAGGTGGATGGACTGATGGATCTGGCAAGGCAGAAGTTCAGTCGTCTCCTGGAGGAACAGTAAGAATCCTCCCACCCATGCCTGTGTTTCACAGGCTGGAGCTGAAGCAGGACACCATGAAGAGGTGTTTCCAGGGGTATTATGAGTTGGGAAGCAACTTCAGCTCCAGTTAGAGATTTGTTTAGAGTGGCTCTGCCTGCCTGGATGGGCTGTAGAGCTCCTGCCCATGCACAGTCCCCCAACACACCAGGTTTGTGTCCATACCAGATGGGTGACTGTGACACAATCCCACCCAAACCATGGGACAGCACAGCTGTCAGATAAACACAGCACAGTCAGGAGCACCACAGTGCCAGGTGCCTTCTTTTCATGAGGTATCAAAGCTTTGTCTTCATTTTTGGTTAGTTAGAGGTATCCAGATTATATTCTAATCTTCCAGATGGGTTTTTGAATGACTTCTAAGTCTGTAATCATTTCCTAGTCCTTCGGTTATGTCTTTACCTCAAGAACTTATATGGGGAATAATTAGTTTCCAGTTTGGGATGATGCAATCCAAGGCAGCTTTGCACAATGGTTAAACATTTGATGGTTTTGCCTTTTTCTGATTCTCAGTTTTGCTGAAGTTGTTGCTGGATGTTCCCCTGGCTCTTGTGCAGTAGAGACTGATGTGTTTGCTGTGCTCCTCACTCTTATTGTTGTGTGCAGGGAGAACTTGAAGAAACACGGAGTGTGCATCCGTGTCCTTGGGGACCTGCCACTGCTGCCTGTGGATATTCAGGAGCTGATTGCCCAAGCTGTGCTGGCAACTAGGAACTACAACAAGTAAGTAACACTCAGTTTAAAAGAGCTGATACCTCTTGGCTTCCTCTTCTTCCTGAAGGCTGAGACTTGGCAGATATTTTACACCTCTTTCCTCCTTTGTCCTACAAGCACACAGAGCTCTATGGTAGGGTTGGACTTGATAATCTTGGAAGTCTTTTCCAACCAGGTTGATTCTATGATCTGCTGGATCTTCCTTTCACACAGTTTTCCTCTTTTCAGATGCTTTCTCAATGTCTGCTTTGCATACACATCGAGGCACGAGATCAGCAATGCTGTCAGGGAGATGGCCTGGGGGGTGGAACAAGGACTGCTGGAACCCAGGTAAGTCTTGACTTTCTGTGTGAGGCTTCCTAGAATGAAGCCTTCCTGTCCTACCACCTCCACTGCATGAGAAACCTCTCAGAAGCCAAGTGGGTTTTAAATAGATCTCATTAAACCAGTGTGACTGGAACAAATGACTTCAAAGTTACTATGCAATGTTTGGTTTTTATTATTGCAGTTGCCATGGTGATAGATACACAACCAAGACAGAAGAGAAATTAGGTCTGTGTCTTAAGTTAGTTTAAATGTGAAGGCAGATTTTTGTGCCACAACAATTGACTGCTTGGCTGGCAGTCTCAGTTATGAGGTCAAGCAAAAGATGAATCATGAATGCTGCACTGTTCCTCCACCCTGAAGGAGATGGAGGAGTTGCTCTCTGCTCCAGATGGAAGCCCTCACAGTCTGGTTATGTTTCAAAGAGCATGGAAAGGGATGCTCTGGGGGCTGAAAGCATTTGGAGTAGGCTGTGCAGCAGACAGCAGTGTCCATCAGAAGCAAGTGAATGCCTGGCTCTGGTACATCTCCACCCAGTTTGCATCTGGGTCGATCTGAAACCCCTTAGAAATTCTGACTGAGTGGTGCCAGGTCAGGAATGGGATCTTAATGCAACGTGTCTGTCTTTTAGTGATGTGTCCGAGTCGTTGCTCGATAAGTGTCTGTACACCAACAACTCCCCTGACCCAGATCTCCTGATCCGAACCTCGGGAGAGGTTCGCCTGAGTGATTTCTTGCTCTGGCAGGTAAAGTCTTTGCTTTCTCCTTGAAATATTCCATCTTTACCTCAGAGGATGGTAGTGCTCTATTTACTCCAGGGATGAGCCCACACAAGGGCTCTGAAACTCAGCCAGGGATTGGGTCTGACTCTTGGGTCACCTCTGAGGAATCTTTGTTGCAGTTCTGTGATTGCCTCAAATACTCTGCAGCACAAATCTGAAACACTTTGTAAGGAATCACAGACCAGTCTAGCTGACAGCACTCGAGGAAACTCATCCTTTTACTCCTCACATTTAGGTAATTCCTCATTGAACTGATAAATTCCTGGCTTTGATTAACTTCCCCTGGCAATATGTTTCCTGGGATGAGGAAGTCCCAGGAAGGATTTCTAGAATTCTGGGAGAGGTGATGTGTGTCAGCTGGAGGTGTGACCCTGCCAGGTACATGTGATGTACATGCCTGACTTGCCACAGTTTCAGAGCTTTGTTTGACTTTCATAACGCACCAGGACCCTGCCAGACAGGTTCTGAGGGTGGCCAAGCCACACCAGCTAAGCTAAAACATCCCAAGTTCTTAACACAGAAAAAGTGGATGTATTTGCTGTTACAGCATCCAAAGCCTCTTCCCTTTCTCCCCTGTGCCAGGGCAGCACTGACCTGTTTGGAGAGAACATTTGAGTCAAGCTGTTTCACTTGAAGCTCATGTGTTTGTTTTATATGTACAGTTTGGAGCCAAAACCCAATTGCCTTTGAGAAACCACATCAAATGCTCCTAATCCAAATTATTTCATTGGCAAGTTCTCAGAAGTTGTCTGGCCTGAGCTGTGCTTGCCTACCAAGGCATCTCCTCTCCTCACTCTGTTTTTGGGCACACCTGTACCCTGAATTGGAGTCAGTGCTGCAAGCTAAGACTATACTTGCTCCTCTCAGTGTCATTTTAAGTGTTAGATTTTTTTAGCAATGGCCACAGGAACACATTTACCCGAAACCTGAAAGAACTTGATGTGAAAATCAGGTTTTAACCTGAATTCTTTCATCACACAGCTCAAAGATATCCTCAGGACTCCACAACTCTTGGTTTCATTAGGCAGTTTAAATGCCATGAGTGGGCAGTAAGGAATATCACGAGATACCATTTGAAGAATGGCTCAAATGTCATGTCCTGATCCTCAGTTCAACTGGTATTCCTTTAACTCAGCCTTTGGTACTCCTGTGTTGCTATTTTAAGGGGTTTTTATAAGTCTGTGATGCTTAAGCTATTAAAAATACCTCTGTGAAGACCAGCACAGCATGAGAGAGAATTCTGCTGGTCTCTTTGCAGGAGTGGGTGACTAGTGTCCCAGCATTAAAGACTGATCAGAAAGACTCTACATTGTGCAATTTCAAGCTTTCCTGGCTGATATTTATTTCATTTTAAGTAGAATCTGCTAACACAGCTCAGGTAACTGGCATAGTTTGCCCAACAGAGCTGCACCTGGCTGACTTTTTCCCCTTGCTAGGTGATTAAATTGTTGGTGGTCTTGCTTTCTGCAGACATCCCATTCATGCCTGGTGTTCCAATCAGTCTTGTGGCCAGAATATTCCTTTTGGAACTTGTGTGAGGCTATCCTTCGGTTCCAGATGAACTACAGTGCTTTACAGGTAAGGAAGGTAAAAGTACCTGCACAGGTTGCTGGAGGTGAGCTGAGGGGTTGCTGGAGACCAGGGGAGAGTGCAAAGTGGGAACAGGAATTGTTAGTTAAGGTCTTGTTTCAGTAGCAGCTCGTGTCAGATGTGTTGCTTCTCCCATACTCACGTGGCTTGTTATAAGACCTTAGCACGTGGCCAAACTCCTCTGCCTTCAGCAGTACCCAAAACACTGAAAGTCACCACTGTCTCTGCTACTCAGTGCTCACAGCACCAGCAAGAATATTTATCCCAGAACAACAAGTAAGCACTCTTGGTCTGCTGCAGGGTGAAACCAGCCAGTTGAACCCAAACCCTCCATCAGTTCGCTCTGGAGAATTTGCATGCTCTTCCTCTGCTGTTGTTTGTAGGGTTGTAACAAGTGGGTTTAGAGCTTCCTTTCTGAGGCTGCCTGAGCTGTGAGACAGTGGACAAGTGTCCTCTTTCTGGTGGGTCCAGATGTGCCTGCTGAAGGGATTGTTCCTCTTGTTCATTGGCATTGTGCCTCTCCTCGTAGATCTGTTGTTGTGAGCTCTCTCCCTGGCCTGGTTCAGATAAATCTGGCCAGTTCTGGCTATTTTTAAGCTGTTTTGCTTGGATTTAGACTTGTTTTAGTCTGGGAGCTGAAGCTCTTGATGGGGAAATGTGGGGGACAGCAACTTGTAGCACTGAGAGAGCAATAACTGGCAGGAGGAGGAACTCAGTGTGGTGACTCTTAGCCTCTACCATATCTGTTTGCTGAGCTTGTCTGTTCCTTAATTATTTGGGCCCTCATTTTAAGGACAGGCATTACATTGCCCCTGTCTACCTTCAGGGACCTTGCTCACCTCTGAGAGTTGTCAAAGAGATATAGACAGTCGTGGCTATGGCTGAATTCAATCAGGGGCAGTCAGTCTGGCAGCATCCAAATTCTCCACGTCCTTAACCTCTTTTACTCCTCTTTCTGGCCTGAGTTTGCCCTTTTCCTACCAGCACTTCATTGTATTAGTGCAACTAATGGCAGTTCACCTTCTGCATGAAGAGGGAGGCAAAAAAGGCAGTAGTGTTTGTCATTGCCATGAGCTTGGCCTCTGTCTGGAACAGTAAGGTCACTGTTCTGACTTTGTTCCTGGTGCTGGTTTCTGAGGAGTAACAAATGCTGCTTCTGTTCCAGCTATTCTCCTCTTTTCTGAGTTCTGGTTTGTGGCTGGATGTGTTCATGCTATGCTATTATCAAGATTCTTATTGTCCACATTTGTTTTCTGGTCAGTTTTGTCTCTCTAAGACCCATTTTGCAGTGTCTAAAACTGTCCTTTTCTAAGGGAAACCTCACAATTGTGCAAAGGGAGGATTTCGCAGAGGAGCTGATTTAGGAGCTGGGGTTGGGTTTTTTCCATTCAGAATAGGTGGTCTT